TTTGTTTTTGTTTTTTTGGTACTGGGGATTGAACTCAGGTCCTTGCGCTTGCAAGGCAGGCCACTGAACCGCTGAGCTAAATCCCAGGCCCTCTTCCCTGTTTTTTATTTGTCAGAAAGAGACTCTCATAATGATAAATGTTGTCTTCCTACTGCAGTAAGTGGGGGCTTTGACCAAATTTAATTTAAAATTTTTAATATATTTATTTATTTATATTTATTTGTTGTTTTTGTTTTTGGTACAGGTGATTGAACTCAGGACTTTGTGCTTGCAAGGCAAGCGGCAGAACCACTGAGCTAAATCCCCAGCTAAACAAATAATGTGATGTTTCTCCTCAGAGATGAGGAACAAGTTTACATGCTAACATTTATTTTCCCATTTAATCTTTTTCAGCTTAAATACCAGACTTTCAGAAGTGTAGTTGCTGGGGATTTTAAGATCAAGGTGCTGGCCAATTTTTTTGTGGGGGAGGGCTCTCTTCCTGGTTTGTAGATAAATACCTTTAAAACTCTTGAATCTGTAGGTATTATTTATCTCCTTTCACATAGGGGAAACCAAGGCACAAATATAGATAGGGAGAGATCTGTATATCTTTATATATCCTTTTGCATTGTGAGCAATCACTTGGATAAAAATGGCAAAATCCAACATGTATAAACAATGAGAATGAACTAACTCATAACTACACAGCTCAGGAGTAGGCCTGACTTCAGGGATTAGGGCTGATGCAGGAACCTAATTCAGTGCCATTGGGATTCATTTTCCATTTCTTAGCTCTCTGTCTTCTATGGTAAATTTATTCTTAGGTTTTACATGGCAGCGGGATAAATGAAGCTGCAAATCTGCCGCTGACAACAGTCCCTACGAGTCTTATTGTTCCTTACAGGCTCCAATTGGTCACAGACCCAATCCCTGAACTACTCACTGAACTGTTCACAGTGGAATGGAGTCTTATGCCTTCTACCTTTGGTGTAAGGGTATGGAAGGAGCACCATTCCACCTGCACTTGGCCCGAGACTGAATAAATGGGCTGTTGTAGATCTTTCCAAAATGTTAAGTGTTTAGAATTCCAGCATTTGGCAGGCAGGGCAGGAGGATCACTCCAAGTCAGAGGCTAGCCTGGGCTCTTTAGTGAGTTCAAGGCCAGCCTGAACTATATAGCGAGACCCTGTCTCAAAAAATTAAACACAATCCCACAAACAAAAACAAAACAAAAATGAAACAAAAAACAATAAAATCTATTTCCAGAAAGATATCAATGCTGATGTCAAAACAAAACAGATGGCCATTATACCCTCTGTCATTTCCCCATTTTGTTTTTTGGCACAGAGCCATGCCATTGCCATTTAGTATTTTGG